TATATATATATATATATATATATATATCTATATCTGTGTGTGTGTGTGTATATATATGTGTGTGTGTGTGTGTGTGTGTGTGATTAAAAGAATCAATATTGATCGTTCGATACAGTGCTTTGTGATTCAAGCTAAATTTACTAAAATGTTGATCTCAAAAATTAGAAATAGACATCGTCTCTTCACTTGATCATGCTGAGGGAAAGAAAGAGACGAGTGAACTGACAATTGAAGCATAACTCTTAAAATGAAGTGTAAGTGAACAATCACTAGACATTTTCAACAATTATTGCAACAAATTAAGACTATTTTAGTCATCAACCACGGTTATTATAACACAGTTATAGCCTAACTTCATATGATTGATAGTTTTTTTATAATCTCATATTCTCTAATTCATGAAAAGACTGAGCCTCCATGCATTCAGTTTTATAGTGGACTATTTTAACTAAACTTGATACAGTGATTTTTTTTTCTCTTTTTAGGTATTTTTTTACATGATAAAATTAATTTTCTCCTTCACTCTTATTTGTTTGGGTACTGAGAAATTATAGCCAGCGAAGACTTGAGATTTTTTATTGCTATTAAGAATTTTCTACCGCATAATAATACAGAACTATGCTTTTACACTTGATATTTGAATATATGGCATCATGACAATATTCAATATATATATATATATATATATTTATTGACGTAACATCTAAAATTGTATAAATTACATTTAAAAGTTATTTCTTATAATATATATAACCTCAAACATGTATGAAAAGTGGGCTTCAAACTAATAAGATCAGAATCGAATATTTTAATATTCTTTATTTTATTTTATTTTACATTCAAGAACACGCATTCATATTGACTACAAAACATATTTGAACAATCATTTCTATTCAACGATCTAATATTAAATTATTTTGGGACAACTACATACAAACCATCCAAAACTTATTAATTACAAATCAACCACCCGCTCCCATCCATTTTCCAAGTCTCCCTCAAATAACAAAACTCATGGTAAAACCCCAACATGTATTTTAATTCTCAATGATTTGATCGTGGCACGTATAAATACATCTGTCATACAGTTCAAAAAAATCACTTGGGTGATTAATCCGTAAATATCAATGTTTCGGGTGGTCTGTATGTAATTATCCCAATTATTTTTCATGATACTGAATTATAAACATTTGCAACATGAGACAATCAATTACATCCACAACAAATACTTAAACCTGAATGACATTCATTAAACCTGATGTTATGGTCAAAAAAGCCAGCAAAAAATAGCAAGGGAAAAAATGTGTCAGCTAAAACATACAAATGCCAATTCCAATATGTCACCCCCCAAACCTTTAACTAAAGAAGTGTATTAATAAGATAATTGGGGATTCTACAACCAGAAACCTAAACATATCTGATCAAACTATATAAAAAAACAAAATAAAGAAAGTGCACAGTACCACTCTCTTACTGGCTTTCTCTCGCTCAAGGTTGCTCCGTCGTAGTAGCTAGCGGAGAGCTGGGCTCAAAGCCATGCACCCGGAGTCGATAAATGCAGGTGTGGCTCGAGCTGCCATGGTTGGAGGTGAAGTCCAGCCTGACCATGTTGATGATGCTTGAATCAACAGTAGAGATGGGAAAGGTCTGTGCATTGCTCTTATTGAGATCATAGGAGAACTCTGTTAGTATCAAAATCTTCTCGGCGGCAGCGGAGGCATCGTTTTCGGGTCCCTCGAACCAGCCGGAGACTCGGCAGTCCTTGGGAGCACTGGACCTGTCATAAGCCACACTCTGCAACAGAAAGATTGCAGGCGGAACACAATGGGTGAGTTAAGAAGCAGAGCGGAGAAAACAAGCAGCTCTCAAGAACTATGTGACGGAATTATTGCAGGAAGGAACAACAAAATTAGTAGAACATCAATTCATCAAGACCAAAATTAGGCAGAAGCCATACGTCAGGATCAATATGACACCACGGGTTGGATTTAGATTCATACCACCCAATTCCTATGTATTTACATATCTAACACCTAAAATTTACTTGTTTTGCATATATACCATTCAAATCTTTCATAGAACAAAAAAAATAGGGCTATCTTAACATTTAAAAGTGATGTACACCGTTTTATGCATATGTAAGGCGGTATGTATGGAAACAATAAAGTTTAGATGTCAAATATGCAAATAAACAGGAATTAAGTGGTACTCATGTAAATCTTCCTTTTTTATCTCAAACAAATAAAAAAATATCATTTTTTTGCCCTTCTGATTATATATATAATTGTAACATATCTAACGTTGGCACTGCCCATACCCTGCCAAAAACGGAATCATAACAAAAACATTTCTGTAAATAAAACTAGAACATCTAAAACTCACTTAACAATTAACCTTCCTTATCAATTTTACTGCCCTACAAATTTGACCACAATCACAATAAACAAGATTAAAATTGCACCCAAAAATAGACAACAACCGCAATGGCTGATATCCTTTTAATGTAATGTCCTCAAAATCTCAAATGTGATTGAGCCAACAATATTAGGAAGATTTACATATAGATGACTCGATTCTTATTTATTCACGTGCCACCTAACCTATACATGAAAAGGTGTATTTCCCTTTTTTTTAAGTTATAATAATGATATTTTTTATGTGATTTGAAAGATTTGGATGGTAAAAGTAGCTTCAAACTCATATCAGTACAAAGAACAAGATATAAATACACAAAAATGTACTTATACATATCTATAGATTTTTCATGTATAGTTAGAACCATGCATCATTATAATGTTATGTAGTTCCAAAAAAAAACAGATATTACTCCTCGCTTTTCGCTTACTTCAGCAAATCTGAAAGAACATGTCGATAAAAGATTGGGTTTTAAAGAAACCTGGTAAGTAGTTTTTCATTTCAAAAACTTAGCAGTAAACAACTTATACAAAAGAGAGAATTGATATTATTCTGCCCGTTTCAACGCATGTTGCATGAAATAATTAATAACAAAACATCTATATCATGAAGTCCTTTCTCATGCTTCACACTTTCAGCATAAAGTAACACTGCATAAAAGTACAAGACAAATATATCACCAATTTCAATTTAAATTGGCACGGTGGCACCAGAGGCTTCACCTCTAATGCTAGAGAGGTTAAGTCCATCAACCCAAATAGGAGTTTGTCAACTCGACCGAATCATTGGGACCATCAACCCATAAACAATAAATCGTCAAATTCCCAAATCTTGGGCCCATCAACCCATCAGAAACATGATTTACCAACCAACAAAAATCTCCCAAATCATATGGTTGCATAACAACTTTTGTCTTAATACCTTGGTAGTATTTCAAATGAACAAGCAACATCAGACAGACTTTAGAAAATGATATTTTACTCTAATCATTCTATTAACACATCAATCTTTACCAAGGAAGGCCAAAATGTTAACCAATATCAATTTTTTGCTAGATCTGATTTATATTCTATATTAGAGGTAAATTTGCAAAACGCAATTAAAAGAAAAGCATAAAACTAACAAAGCGTGGATGGTACTGTACAAATAAGCATAAAATGTATGTTGTGTCATGTTCAAAGTGCTTCTCCCATCTTATAAATCCTCCATAAAAAATAATGATAGCTTGTATAAAAAAAAAACTTCATCATTTGCTTAACATTATACAGAATTCTTAATCCTCTACATTAAATTAACAGCTGCTAATCATGTTACATGAAAATGGCATTATAAACTTTATATAGTTTCCATGTAGATTTGAGAAAAAAAAGGCTCGCAGTATCTTGATCAAATTTTTGTCAGAATGAATTTCAAAGCCTTTGGATTTGCTAAGACAAAAATTAAATGTATCGCAATCATCTCAAGGTAAATTAACTGCTTTGAGAACCATTCTCACACAACTTTTTCCCCCAAGTTTTCCTTCTAAACTTGAATGCATATTTTTCAAGGAAAAATATTTTTATTTTTCCTAAAAAAACATAAGCATCCATAATAAAAGAATAGGTGCTATAGCGAAAGAACTTCCGCTTCCACACTCATTAATTGCTTCCATAACATCATATCAAAGCGAACAATATGCAATCATCCAAGTCCCTATATCTATAATTGCAATCCTAACCCAAATTCCAACAAGATTATGTACGCATTAATTGCATCTCCCTTTCATAAAAATATTCTACATAAATGAATGCATTGCTCTTCCTCATCATAATTTACGGGGATATAGAAGCATTGTTAATCAATATATTCCTCCTCAAGTGTATAAAAATGAGATATTTTATAATATGTATAACATTTGATCTCATGAAAACGACAAACTAATTAGCTCTCTAATGATGAACATAATACTGAAGTCAAAATTCCATCCTCCAATCAATTACTTTTTCAAACACCCAAACAAATCAAAATTCAGTATTTAATACTAATAATTTATCTGAAATAGATTTTTATATAGAACTAAGATTCTATGTATAAGAAAAAACTTCAAGAAAGCAACAAAAATGATATAGAAAAATTACATACTTTAAGAAATCCTCACTCGAACATTATTTTCTTAAATATAAAACAGATATCCCAAGATTTCCTTTCCTTTCCCGCACTAAAATTCCCACATACACTAAATTTTTATTTAACTGAACAAAATATCCCTCTGCAGGTAATTCAGACTAAGGGTCTGTTTGGGGCATCTTTTATTTGGTGCGGTGGCGTCTTATTTGGTGCGGTGGCGTTTTGAAAACGCACCTGCCCTGTTTGGGTAAACTGCGTTTTGACAGTTTATGCGTTTTGAAAATTCAGACTAAGGGCCTGTTTCTCGCAGTTGTTTGGTTTTTCCAAAAAAATAAAATTTGTAATAGTCACCGCACCTAGCTTATCAACAAATTATATTTAATCAATTTATCAGCAGATTATTGAAGAAGTTGAATTGCCCCAAACAGATCCCAAAAGTTTGGGGAGTTGTTCTCGCCAATATGTGGCACGCTGAAAGGTGGCTGCATGCATGTTGGGAGGATATGGAACACACAACCTATCTTACCACATAAGCCTTAAAATAATATTAACAATATTATTATTATTATTATTATTACAGCTGCCATTATTATGTTTTTGCACATACATAAAAATAAAAGGAAATTTACATACATACCACAAAATTCTTATGCATTTACATCCCTACACCTAATCTTTCATATATAAATTTATAATGCTTTGGTGTCATAACCTATGCATGCAAACGCGTATTTCACTTTTAAAAGCAAGTAATAATGTTATTTTTTATGTGATACCAAAGATTTGAGTGTTATGTATGTAAATATAAAAGCATTGTGTGGCATGTTTGTAAATGCCCCAAAATTAAAAATATGATAAGTTCAAATTTAATTTAAATTAAAACAATGATACAACTAAATTCATAGCTTATAAATTAGCAACCTAAAAAATATGATTACTTTAATGGTTAAAGTCAATTTCATAATTAAACGATGTCAAATAATCAAAAAAAATTTATTTTTTACACTTGTCAATCTTTATTATTCTAATTATAAAGAATCAGATCAATTTCTCAAACTCACAAAGTTCCATTTACATGCAAGGCTAATAAACAAACTTTGTGGTATCTACTTCATTACAAAGGAAAATAAATAATTTTTTGTATTACTCTCCTCAAATTATTTTCCCTTTTTAATTTTTTTATGCAAACTTCTAAACTATACAAGCTATAAAGTGAATATTACTCTTATTTTGTTCACTATACTCATATTGTGATGTGCCAATTTACTCATTATTATTTACTTTACCAAAACCATTTATGATAAGCTTAATAATTCCTAATACTCCACTCATCCAAGTAAGAGTTTTTTAAGGGCAGCTTTTCCACTATTTTATTTTTCAAACCATTGCCACACATTCATTGGCTACTATTTTCTTGTTACATTTCAAAATTTTCATTAGTGTTGTGATTGTAAAAAAGCTACTGTCCATTTTTTTTTAAATAAAAATATTTAAATACCAACAAAATTTCCAAAAAAGTTACTTTCCCACAACAATTTGAGAGCCCTAATGTCACCTCCCAAAAGAGCTCTTAAGAGAGGTGGGCAACCCGGGACTTAAATACTGTTTTTCGACCCTACACCAAGCCGAAGTGGGACTTTTTGTCCGTTACATTCTCCTCCACCTAATCACGTGACACCGTCGTCACAGATCGGCTCCTCCGAGAATCCCACTGGACCATGGAGAGTCCACACACCTGACAGACAATAATCTGTTCTGATACCAACTATCACGAACTAACTTTCCCCAAGACACCCGTGCGGCTTTAGCACTTTCTTTTAGCACTAAATCAGACTAATCTTCACAACGCTGGGACTTGTGAGCACCAAGCACTCTTAAGAAGAAAAGTAGAGAGAAATGAAGATTTCACACTTGAATACTTGAAAGCCTTGATTCAATGCTTGGGTGATTACAAATGAGGGGAGGACTCCTATTTATGGCCCCTCCAAGCCTAATGAAATATTCTAGAATACATTAAATTATTTTAGTTTCTATAGAGTTTTGCATTTCTCTCTTATTACACACATAGCCCTAGCACATTCTAGGTTATTCTTAATTTCTCTTTGGAGCCATTCTTTCTTATTTTCTCTAGAACTAGGGTGAAATCTTCTAGAACCCCCTGGATGAAGAAGGCCCTCAACTCTCTTCTTGCAAGCCATAAGAAGGAAGAAGAGAGTGATAGGGAAAATTACATGGATGCACATGTGGGATCTCTTCAACTACTGAACGGGATG